AAGGTGGAGGACGTGGTCCTATCCACATTTGACGGTTTCCTTCAGTACTAACTCTATAAATAGGAGGCCGGAGAGCTAAAAAAAATGGGGTGAATATTTGTACCTTAAACACTTACTCTATCCATTTATTTCTTGTGAAATTATAAAGACAATGTTGAGTAAAAATACTTATTAATATTTAAATAATATCTTACAAACAACATAATTTCACCGATATTAGGATTTAATTAGCATATGAGTTTATTATTTTTAGTTCGACCCATTCAAGCCACTTGCAGTTCAAATTTAGAATTGGGATTTGTGTTTGGATAATTTGGTTTTAAATTTAGAATTTGTATTTGGATAATTCTTAGGTGTGTGACAGTGTGAGGAATTAAAAGAACTTTAAAAATTTAATTTGAAATTTAGATAATTCCTCGGTATATGACCGTGTGAGGAATTAAAAGGTCTTTTTTGAAATTTGATCTAAGATTTGAATTTGGATAATTCCTATGTCGAATTTAGTTTGGAATTTGTTGTGATTTTAAATTTAGATTTAAATAATTCCTCGGTATATAACCGTATGAGGAATTAAAAAGATTTTAGAATTTTTGACTTGAGATTTAAGTTTGGATAATTTCAATGTGGAATTTAATTTGAATTTGAAAATTTTAACTGCACCTAGATTTTGTATCTAGATTACCTACGTATCCAAAATAGAATCAAGTATTCGTAGTTCTTTTTTTTTTTTTTTTGAATTTGAAGTTTAAAATTTTGTGAATTTTTTATTTGCGAGGTGGATAACCTCTTTCAATTTTTGGGGCAATTTTGATATGAATTTTGATAAACTCATCACTAATATGTAAATTTTTATTTTATCAGATTTTTTATTTTTGTGACACGAAATTTTTTTAAAAACGCAACACGAATACGACACGATCACTTTACAAATTAACATAATACGACACGATATTTGTATTATTTTTAAATCGTATATCGTATCGTGACTTATATTATCAATCTTAATTGTAAATCTGCAAGTGAAAAGGTACAATTTGTAAATATAGGTATATATATAATATGTGTTTGAGAGAAAAAGTCTTTATGTAATTTATTATATATTTTTTTGTTTAACCTTGCAGGTGTTGAAGGCTAGTTGCTTCCGTGAGAGGGTTAATACATTGACAGAACTTTTGACCACCGGCCATTTTTTTACGTCAGTATAAAATTTGTATTTATTTTTTACTGTCTTATTTTATTATATTTTAGGCTATACTATTACCGCTATAGTTAGTCTGTGAATTCTCTCTTTCAGGTTGTACCTTATTGGTCAGAACTTTATCAAATATATACATGTATGTATGTATGCATATTTTCTCGGCTGCACCATAGCAACTAGACCCTTTTAACATTTTTTTTAGAAATTCTAAGTCTTACAACTTCATAATTTTATAAAGTTTTAAAATTTATAATTTTATTTTAATTTTTTATAGAAGTTTTAAATCTTGCAACCTCATAATTTTTTTTAAAGATTTTAAATCTTGCAATCTCATAATTTAGACTAAGTTTAAAAGTTTGCAGCCCTATGATTTTTTAATGGGTTCAAAAATTTGCAACTCGCACGTCTTGAAACATGAAACATGGATTAGAATCATGTAATTAAAATTATTTTCGATTTACGTGTATTTTTATGAGAGAAAATATTATAGCGAATTATGAACCATGATTCGAATCATGGTTTGAATCCTCCAACCAAACATCATATAAAAAATGAACTTCTTTTCTGACATAGCATTTCCGTACAAAGGAGAGTTTAGAAAAAAATTTATAAAAGGACCAAGATAGATCATGAGAGAAGACACAAAGAAACCGTCCCTCTTTTTTTTTTTTTTTGGCAATCTTTCTGACAATATTTCCTTCACTATTTTTTTGTTTCTTACATGCATATAAGGCACATGAAGCAATAACCATCAGAAGAAGCCGTCCCTCTTTTTTTCTTTTTTCTTTATATATATATGTATATATAT